GGAAAAGAAGCAATATGTGTATCTTTTTTCCACACTATTTACGTTAGAAACTTTCTTAGAAATATTTTATATAAAATTATAAATAGTGCTGGGCAACGATTAATCACATCCAAAATCTAATTTATTGTGTACATAATATATGTGTGTGTACTGTGTATATTTATTATGTATATAAATACACAAACATGCATGTACATATTTAAGAAAAATGTTTATATATTAAATATATTATAATATATTATATTATATATTAAATATAAATTATATGTATATAAATATATACATGTAATACATGTAAATATTTTCAAAATATATACAATATGTGTCTTTATGTATACATAATTAACATACACAGTACATACACATATATTATATAAACAAAAACTTCTATTTTGGATGCGATTAATCGTTGCTCAGCACATTAAAAAATAAAAGTTAGTATAAATGTATATTAATTCTATTATTATAAATATATTTTCACACTAAGTATAGTTCCATAGCTGTTTATCACTTAACATTGACAGCCCAAAATCAATCAATCAATCAATCAATCAATCAATCAATCAATCAATCAATCACAAATGTTAAACCTCTTGCCCTAAGGGACCCTGGGCACCCCTTCTTTAATTTGCATAAAAATACATTGCACACAAATATTGGATAAAATAGTAAAAAAAAAAATTGTGAATTAGATTAAACATTTTTATTTATACTTGTCAGTATTTAAAGGAACACTCCACTATTTTTGAAAATAAGCTAATTTTCCAACTCCCCTAGAGTTAAACAGTTGAGTTTTACCATTTTCTAATCCATTCAGCCGATCTCCGGGTCTGACGTAGCACTTTTAGCTGTAGCTTAGCATAGATCATTGAATCTGATTAGACCGTTAGCATCTTGCTCAAAAATGACCAAAGAGTTTTGATATTTTTCATTCCGGCGTAATAATCAAGGCACTTTGCTGCAAAGTTCCTTGATTATTACGCTGGAATGAGAGTATAGTTCCTAGCCATATCGGCCTAGAAAATCGCAATTTTTCATTTTCCGTCGGTCTTAGTACACAATGTAACTACAGAAGAGTCCAGTTTTAAATAGGAAAAATATAGAAACTCTTTGCCTTTTTGAGCGAGATGCTAACGGTCTAATCCGATTCAATGATCTATGCTAAGCTACAGCTAAAAGTGCTACGCCAGACCCGGAGATCGGCTGAATGGATTAGAAAACGGTAAAACTCAACTGTTTAACTCTAGGAGAGTTAGAAAATGAGCCTATTTTCGAAAATAGTGGAGTGTTCCTTTAATAAAAATATACAAATATTTATTGGGATATTTATTCACTCTGTGATTCTGATGCCTTCAAATGCTGTCTACTCATTAGATTTTAGAACTCAGCTATCGACTTCTGTCCAGTAGGCCAGTACTTTTTGTAATGGAAAATGATTGATTGGTTTTGATTCTAAATTGCAAACAGTTGAGATATATACTAAATCGTTAACCAAATTGATGCGTTTAAATTGGCTCATTAAGCATCACAGATAATACTTTGGTGTACACCAAATTACATTTACAAAAGCTGAATAAAAAGGAGCAGTATGTAATCATTCCAGTGCCACTAAATGGACTGAATCTGAACTGAATAGACAGGACCCCAGAGAAAGTGGCTCCAAAACTTGCATTTGTATTTGGTTTCCCTTTGCACATTCTGCCAAGGGGGTGTGAAGAGAGAAAGCATGTCGAGACTTGGAGAGTGATGATCTGGGTTTCTCAGTTCTGTCTCTCCTCTCAACTTCTGTTCCAGGGAACGGCGTGTGCAACTGCGGAAATTGTGACTGCTGGGATGGCTGGACAGGAAACGCCTGTGAAATCTGGGTTAGAGAGGAGTATTAACCCCTGGTAGACACTTAAAGACTGTTTCTGTTGTCAATCACGACAAGAAAAGGATGGCTGCACCAACAGCGAACAAGGGAAAATTGATTTTAGAGATCTTTGCAATATAGTAGCATTCAAATTTTCTTAAAGCAATGTGGTTTAAATTCCATTATATGCACATAAAACAGCTGTGGGAGACGACATCTATAATCCTCTATAGTTTTCCATATAACTATATATATATATATATATGAAAATTGTGTATAATAATGCTTACATAGACTATTGACTGGCACATAAGCACTAAAAGGAGAGGATCCATGCAAATGGCCAACAAACAAGTAAGAGCATTTTATTATTATTCAGGTTGCTGTTTTGCAGAGCTCTGCTTGTGGTTTTTATGACCCTGTTTTATGTATGGTAAGTTCCATGTGACAAAAGTTGTAAACAGCCTGATGCCAATAAATTTACCATGCTCTGAGATGTCATGAGAATGAGAAAGCTCTTTTTTAAACATATCACAATCATTTCTTGTCAAAATATTACTGTTTTATGTTAATTAAATTGTTAAAAAATTTACCCATGTTGAAGGTAAATTATATTGACCAAGGTAATTAGCATAAATAAAAACTAGGATAAGGATGACCCAGCAAAAAAAAAAAAAACTGCTCCTTGATCACCCCATTACATGTTAATATATATATATATATATATATATATCGCACAAATATCGCATCAAATTGGTTAGAGAGATTTCAGTACACCTTTATATAAATATTTTATTCAATATGTTGTATTTGTGTATACAACAAACACAAACTGTACAGTGCAGACAAACTCTTTGCATATATGTATGTAAAATTAGCAGAACATACCAACAGTCCATGATATACATAGCCTACGACATGCAGTTCATATATGCCACGCTCTTCCCATGCAACAGATGAAGTAACTGTCAAAACAAGGTTCAAAACCAATCAACAGACAATGGAGACCTTCCTTCACCACTGAAAATCAGAAATACGGAGAAAACACAGAAATGATCGATTGTTCAGCGATTGCTCCTCATTACGATTTAACGACGTCACGCACGACCTGAATGGAACGAAACGAACACGGACGTTGGAAAGAGGAATAAACAAACTAACGTACTAACAAATGCACACGTACTCACCAGTCACTTACAAAAATAAATTCAACCTTCGTAAAACCAGTTCACTGGTCTGCAGGGCAGCTTTAGCCCAGCATGTAGAGCTCATTGGAGTGAGTGATTTGTTTCGTGTGGAAGTGGGACACCAGCCTCGAACTGATTTCAAATATGAAGCTACTTTTCCTGTATAGTACTGCAATCTCATTCTAGCATTAAATTCGGCTTTGTACAGACAAATATTTAAGTCTAATGTGCTTGAACATCTCCTAATATGAAACTAGCTCAAAATTCCAATAAATGAAAATATAGGTCTTCAAATGAAGTGTAGAATATATTTGTATTTAGCAGCATAGCCTCGGTCTACTTCATAACATTCTAAACGGTATTCATCATTCAAACTATGAAAACTGTTAAAGCAAGACAGGCTTCATGTCAACTCGGCTGATAGTAGATCTAGTAGATGACGATTTTAAACGCAAAGTGCAATGGTCTCAATCCAGAGTATGAGAGAGCCTTATATAATCATGCCCATTCAGTGTAGCCCTATGCCCTAGCTTTAGACATTTCTAGCCGTCCCATACTTTGGTCCTTAAGAAAACGCATGCAGTTGATTAGTAATAGGTACCCCGGTCTTGTACTAAATGAACAATTGAAGGACATCATTTGGAATCTCTTCAAGTTTGAATCGAGACGATTAAAAATTCGAGACAATTGTTCTTCGTGATAAACCCTAGTCACAGTGAGGACAAAAACCGAAGAGGACCGCCATCCTCTGAGTTATTGAAATTGTTCGGCTGGATTCTCGTGTGTTCGGACTTAGGTAACAATCAACTTCTGTGTGTTTGTGGATTAAGTTGCTACTGAATCTGTGTGTTTGTGTGTGTGTGTGTGTGTGTGTGTGAGAGAGAGAGAGAGTGTGTGTCTGGGGCATGAGGCACCTTTAACCCAGCACAGACTGGGTACATGTTTTTGCATGCTGGGTTAGAGGTCATCACAGGCACATGATGAGCAGTACTGGACTCTGCATGCTGAGCTAGGAAAACCCCTCTCATTTCAGAATCCTAATATCTGGTATTTAAAAATCTATTACTTTTTTTTGTAGATTTTTGTTTTATTTGTATACAGTGAAAACATTGTTATAGAAGCCATTTCTTGCACTGCGTTAGCGTTGCAAGAACAGAATGTAATACTAACCTTGACCATGCCTTTGCTGAACAAAATGGGTGTGCAGCCAATATTAATGGTGCCTACTTACATTGAGCCATTTAACCGCCCAGGCCTGAAGTAGACTGTATTTCTCTATGGCTGCCGCTCTCGTCACATTTAATGTGCTAGCCAGAACTAGCCCACAGTTCAGAGGAGTCAGCATGTCAAAGAGAGGCCTTGACCAGAGGCCTACAAGGCCTATAGATATTCCTAGAGCCCACGCTCTAAATTAAGAGCAAAGAAAAGTGGAAATTCACCTAGTTACTGGGGTTGAAACCGATTTGCACCATACTAGATAGTGATATGTACTCTATACACCTTCCCCAGCACATGCCAGCTCCTTGTGTTGGACTGCTGCGGGCGTGACTAATGCACTCGCTGGCATTTGCTGTCTAAGTATACTTGTGTCCCTTTCTAGACATTACAAGAATGAGAAGACATGAGCGCTGAACCTTGGATAACGAGTTGGATTCTGTTTAGGAGGCTCCATCCCTTTGAAAGATTGACGTCTCTTGACCATAAACATTGTGAAGGGACTTTCATCCATCGTTGTGTTTGAATGACTGCACACCAGAACGCATCGCACACTGCCCCGACAACAAATTTCATAAGTAACCGACAAAAGGGAAAGATTTGGAACTTTGAGCTTCAGAGACTGGGGGACACCTAGAAAGGAGGAGACACATTTGATTAAAAAAAAAAAAGTTGTGGATTCCAGTCCATATATATATATATATATGTATATCTTTACAGTACTACCCCAGAGCGTAGCTGGTGTTACTGTGTATATAGAAAATAGATCTGAAATGTACGGTCTCTGCTGTTGTGACAGGGTTCAAGAAAAGGGTTATAACGGGTGACTGTTAGCAGGCAAAAGAACCGCCACGCAAGCGCCTGTGGTACACAATTTCATTCTCGTGGATTGTCTCGATTACAGAAAAAACATTGGCTTTATTGTATGTCAAAAGGCATTCCGTATCATTTAGGGCATTCCATGGTGAAAGTTTAGCTGGTTAATCCAGTCGCATCCTCCTACGTGCACAGCTGACCAACCTTCCGGAGCCAGACCGTCGTCGAATTAGATCGGAACAGTCAGAGGAGTGAAAGGGGTGGAGGGAATGGGGAGGAGAGAGCAGAGGATGCCTGGATCTGATCCACAAACATGGAGAGTCTGACAAAAGGAGCACGGCTCTCCGGGGTTGAGCATGGCCGAGATGGGATCTGGCTATGTGGTGGGCTTGGTTTCCTTGCTGACAGGTTTGCCTCCGTTCATGATGGCCGGCTCTGTGCTTTTACTGGGAGGCACGGCAGGTTTGGGCACTGTCTCCCCCACATCATGCAATGATGGCTCTCGGTACATAGCGACTGCAAAAGACATCAGAGAAGGCAAGAGTAAGCCAGGTAACCGCAGCCGCCCCATCTGTCTCTCTTATTGGAAATGATTTTTGGAGCTTGACTGAAATCTGCGTATAATTACATCTAGAAAAGTTTTGCAACTCATTCTTATTTCCAAACCTGAAACTTGGCTAAAAAGACAACATTCATTAGGGAAACTCTGACAGGACATGTGCAAGTTTGTCAAAGTGCGGACAAGCTGTCAGCAGGGCTGCATCCTTTCCTTAGTTGTGATGGGAAGATGGTCTGATCTCTCGGGATGCATTTGACTAGGTTCACTGCTTCACGTCAGTTCAGACTTACTGTATTCTTAGCAGTGCTGCTACATTACGGGTTGCTGGCTTGTGTTGCGGTATTAGACGAGAAAATAATGAAGACACAACAGGATGAGCGACTGGTCTAAAATGTGGGCATCTGTACACGGCAATAAAGCATTGCACAGACAGAAACGGGCCACACATCATTGCAAATTACACCTCAAACCGTACATAAAGCATTAATCTCATGCTAGCCAGACACATTTTACAGTGTGGCCATAAAGGAGCTGTAAGGAATATTTGAAAGGACAGGTTGTCCATCATTATGGTACGAAAGGTGGGTCTTGGATACGTGGTGCTGTGAAATAATGTTTATTGAGTTGTAAATCATTATGTATTCAGATAACGGGGATATAAGGCCAAATGTTTCTGTTCGAACCCTTGGTGAAGCACTCATTGTCAAGATAAAATGGTAATTTTACATCCTCATGATCATCATCATTTTCCCTAAATCTGAAATTTGTCAGTTCCTGTGACCCGTGCTTGCTCTGTACAGATGCTCTTCTAGCACGCATTTTAATATTTTAACTCTACAAACAAACAAAAGGGGGCATACCAAGGAATAATTAATTTTGATTTGTTCATTTCATAGTTGTAGCATAAAATCAGAAGACTTGTAATATAGCACACATTATATTGTATGCTATTTTTATGTTGTTGTTTTTTTTTTATTCATTCTAATGGAAAAGAGCAGTCTCGACATCCTGTTATGTTCCAAAATCATACAGTATTTGAACAATATGAGGATTTTTATTATTTTGACGGGTTGCCATGAAGAACTTGCAGCTGCTGTGTATGTGATATGAAGGTAGTTTTCTCAAATGAAACGGTGAAATGCTAATGAAGTGACTCTCAGAGCAGCTGGAGATTACATTCGTGCTCATTTTATTCATTCTAATGGAAAAGAGCAGTCTCGACATCCTGTTATGTTCCAAAATCATACAGTATTTGAACAATATGAGGATTTTTACCCAGGATTTTACCCAGAACACAGCCAACAACCCTGATTACTATTTGACACATTTCTAAGGTCAATGCTTTCAAAACAATTAGACTTGTTTATTTAAGCAAGACTGCATAATGAGTGCTGCATTATTTCCAGGTAACACATTTAACAAAGGAAATTATATGAAAACTATTCTGTTTTCCATTGATTGCATAACATTCTCCAAATATATATATATATATATATATATATATATATATATATATATATATATATATATAAGGGCTGGGTATCGATTCAGATGTCCCGATTCGATTCGATTCGATTTCGATTCGCAAGCTCTCGATTCGATTCTCGATTTTTTTGATTACATTCAGTGAATATGGTTTTAATACAAATGCTATTGATATTTCTAAAAAATGAACTGTAAAATCAGTTTACAAATGGTGAATTAATAAAACGAAATTAAGAACCACATGCCTGTATTTTAAACCTATTCTTTTTTAAACAATAATATGGCCCTATAAAATGTTCTTAATTTTTCTGGTAATCAGATGAAGGCATAAAACATTAATTTAATTGATCCTAATCAAATGAAAATTAAACCCTTTTATTTTTTGGCAAACAAATTGCTGCACAACAGAGGTTTACTGTTAAATTTAAAAAGAAAACAGATGTGATTATTCCTTTAAAAATAAATATTTATTAATATTTATTAGCAGTAGTAGCATTGATTCTTAAGACTGCTAAATAGTAATATATTCTGACAGTTTCATAATGTTAAACTAAACTTTTATTTTGACGGGTTGCCATGAAGAACTTGCAGCTGCTGTGTATGTGATATGAAGGTAGTTTTCTCAAATGAAACGGTGAAATGCTAATGAAGTGACTCTCAGAGCAGCTGGAGATTACATTCGTGCTCATATCATCATATAGTGAGACGGCAGAAGTTGAAAACACCACGAGCGTCATCCGCGTTTTAGTATGTGTGTAGTAAACAAAACAGTGCGCCGCGCCATCCGCCATTCATTCATTGCGGAAATCATGACGCCTTATGCGTGATATCAAATACTTCCGCAGATTTATAGTATTACTATAGCATTTCACCTGAGCATTGCGAATTGCGCCTATGGCCATGATAAGTGCTGAATGAATGACAGGATTTCTGTTGTAACATCGCGCAAGGTAAATAAGGGTGACATCTAGTGGAGAAGACTAATGATAAGATTCACGTTAATCAGATCTTGTTTTAAATGTGTGCTGAAATAAATACTGGAAAAGATCGATTCGCGGCTTTTGAGAAT